ATGAGACACTTCTACAGGATAAATGAATGACACTGGGTTTGTTTTGGTTTTCCCCATAGTGACCACAGACTGTATCTTTTCCGGCAGTTCATCTGCTTTCTTGAGGCTTCCCAGAACATTGACCTACTTCACTGCTCTTCAGCCATTTTCATAGGGCAGGAGGGACTTCCCTGAAGAAATGAATCACAGGACAGTTGGAATCTTTCAGCTCCTTGTTGCAAAAGACTTCTGATTCAGCTTGGTCACCTTTTCCTCTAGATGACATGCCCTCTTGATGATACTAAGGACATGAACTAATTTGAACTCCATACTGCTTATATTCAAGGAATACAATAGTTCCTTGTGCTGTTACAATCTCAATTTTCTACAAATGTTCATGCCTATGTTTACTTCTTATCTTTTACTGACTATGGGATTTACAGTGCTAATGATGTTGCTTCTGCCATCACAGCAACTTGGAATTAAAAAGTGATCCATTTGTTTTCGGGATTAGCATCCATTTATCTCATTCTTGTTGTTCCTATGAAGATTCCTGTAAGCTAAAGCTGCTGTTGTCCATCCCCTTCATGCATGCTGTGCTTGCTACACAGGCCTTTGTAAGTCTTATGAAATGGTGCGATCCTTTGCTATTCTTGTGACTTTTTGTCCCAGCTACTGAGCAGTCTGGTTGCTTGGGTTGGGGTTGTGTCTGTGTATATATTATGACTCACAGCTCTGCCTGCTTTGTTGCCACAAAGCACTTTTCTTGTCACATTTTGAATTCTTTTTAACAATTTCACCAGCATGAGCAGATTGGGTGATTTCCTTTGCTTGCTAAATTCCAGTCACATCATCAAGGTTAATTATAGTTTGCTGAGCGTCACTACACGTTTCTAGTCCCAGACCCTATCAGACTGCCAGCACCCCAACATTACAGGAGTGATTCTTCAGCCCTACATCAGCCACAAGTTTTTCTTGGTTTTGCCTGTCTTGTTGGATAGATCCTAGGTGAATCTTTTCAGGCATCTTAACTTTTCTAGGAATTTTTGGAAGGCAGCTCAGCATCCATCCTCTGCGCACTGCAGAAAGTATATGTGTACACATCTTTCAGCTGGAGTGGAGTGTGATAAACACTGCCAGGTGGTGGAACCTAATTCTTCAGTGTAATTGCCATTAGCCTTGGTGAGAATCTGCACTGCTGTACCAAATGCAAATTCGCTATTATATAGAATTAGCTACCTGTGGAGAAGTGACTGTTCTCCAGTAGAATGGACAGCTTTCTGTGTTGTTTCATTCAAGTGATGTAATTATTATTTGCTTATAATATAAGGTTACTATAAGCTTGTATTGGTGGGTAGCTCTAAATTCCACTTCTTCCTTCTTTTTATCTTACTTGGCTCATACAAAGTTTGGTCATTTAAACCTGGCTTTATCCCTCCCAACGTTAGATAGTTAACTAAAACATTAGATATTTAACTGAATCACACAGCTGGTCACCTTAGGGTCCTTCTAGAATCAATGAAGAGAGACAGAGTAACTTTCAGATAGATATAGAGATCTGAAAATCAATTTCTTCAACGCCCTCTTTCACCTGGGAGATCCCTATGACAACTGTACTTCTTCCATAATCACCTTTCCTTAGCTGAGAAACTCGAATTTTTATTCAGAATCCATAGCATATCTGAGAGTTCTTTAAATAGTACATGTATAAAATCACTAAATGGGAAAGGTATGGCTTAGGTATTTCTTACATGCAAACTATGTTTCTTTTGCTCAGATCAGAATTGGTAACATTTTCAATATGAGAAATGTATTTTCCTTGTGTAAGCAAACACATGTATTGGAAAGGAATGGTTTCATGATGGAGACATGAGCTTTCTGGCTAACGATCTGCTCTACCAGAGTACCACATAAAATAGAGACAAAACAAAGTTCTACACAACATTTATATAAGTCTAAAGTCATAAAAATATTTTTGGGAGACAAGTGTTCCTCTTTATATATGGACTGCCTGCCAGGAAAGTCAATGCAGGTATTCTGCCTTTAAGATTTCACATGAAGCAGGTCTCAGCCGAATATGGGTTGCAGATGATTTGGCATTTTATTTATAAAACGGCTTTAGCAAGATTTGTATTCGTTTATGGGATCAAGATGGGTTCACCTTGTACCTTGTGCCAAGGAACGAAGATGTCATTAATGTAACAAAAAAATCATCAAGCGTATACTTGCCAAACCTAATAAAAATGTATGTATTTCTTACCTTCCATGCTTGTGGACTGTGGAAATATAAGGTAGTTTTTCATTTTAAGTCTCCCTTTCACCCAGCTCTGTAACTCATACCCAGTCAAACAAAATGCTCAGACTTTAAAAATGAAATCAATTTACTCTTATCAGGTTGGCAAAAACTTAATTAAAAAAAAGGACCAAAACACATTATCTTCCTATGGAATCTGTTAATGCTTAAAAGTAGCATTTTAGAATGTCGTGGTCACCTCATTCATATAAGGCACTGATCTGAATTTCATCTGTTCGTGAGTTTAAAAAAAGGATTCAAAGCTGCGTGCGTGTATTTTTGGTGTGTCTTTATAGGTGAGGAATGACAGAATACATGACCTACCTGGCACTTCCCTGGCAAGACAGCAGCCTTCATCTCAGGACAAACTCACAAGGAGCCTGTTCAATTGTCTGAACTTTTTCCTAATCGCATAATGGCTCTCAGAGAGAAGAAGAAAGATTAATTTACTTTTAAAAATTAATACTTATGAACCCAATGATTAAAATTAATGATTTGAAATATCAGATCCTTGTTAGAGAAATCCAAACATACCTAATTGCCATATTAAGATAAGTATACACTAATATATGTATCTCTGTATAGAGGTATTTAAAACAAAGAATTGAGTCTTATACAACATTAGCTATCTAAAAGCTGTAATTTTCTCTCTGGATTTTGACCTGAACTGTCACCTGTGGCTATTGTGTACTTCTGCTCTAAACCCAGTGATAGTCTACTGGGGCATCATCATCATATGGATGTGTCTTGTTACAGTAACAAATACAGTAAGTACATTTGTTATTTTATGAAGACAGTATTTTTATGTATTATGTAGCCACAAGGAAAAAAATGTATTTGAGAGCATGTAGTATGATGCATAGATGGAACCAATACTATGTTTTTCTTCATGTCACACTCCTCATCCCTGATTTTGACCTACTGTATTTACTCAATATAACCACTTCATATTTGGGAATTTACCCTGAACATTTTTTTCCATCATTTCACATGGACCTTTCTATACTGTTTAAAGTTCTCCATGCTTTCCTTGTTTTTCTGATCTCCTAGAGTCGTTAACCAATTACAGCTGGGATCAAGGCCAAAATCAGCTAGGTACCACAGCTGAGATTATCTCAAGTGGCACCTTAGTTAAATTGCTGAATAATCTTTTCTGTAGGGTTCAGATAAACATTGGTTGAGTTTTCTTATACCTTATGCCTTCCTAAAGCTCCTTCCTTTTTGATTTACTGTTTATATTCTTTACTTTTTATAAAGCTTCCCAGAGAAGGTCAGTTGGAGTCCCACCTTAGTTACAGAACTGCAAATTAGGATAGCCCCCTTCCTTCACAGCCTTTCTCTGGCTAAAACTGGAAAATGAATTAGATTATGGTCTCTGTACAGCTTGCCCTCAAATCACTGAAAGCAAGAATTTCAGCAGATCCTGGACTGAGCCCTCATTTTCTTTTGCAGTGGCTCTGGGCTATTTTACGTTTCACAAGAAGAGAAGCAATTTTCTGCAGTTCATCTACTTGAAAGACACTACCAATAGCCAGTCTTGGGCTTCTGTGCAGTATTTCAAAACAGAAATCCATGACGTAGGATGACCTGACAAGAAACCAGGTTAAACTGTTTCTGGTTAAGCAAATGTTTCCTCCTCCTGGCTGCTTAAATGAAGAAGAGGAGGCTTTTTCTTCTCTAAAGCAATTCAGTCTTCTCCCTTACTGTGAGTTAACCGCTGCTAAAATATTTTGAGAAACAGAAAACCTTATCTCAGGAGTTTTAATGTTAAAACAGGAAAAGTCTGCTCCCAGCTAGGAAAACTCAGCTGACTTTCCCACCGCACAAATACAAGTAAAAGCAAAACAGACTACAGATGGAAATGTAAAATGGGAAAGAACAGCAAAAGAGCTATTACACTATCTTTCATGCTATGAAGAAGAAGAAATTACTGACATCCATTTCTTAATCTACATTTATTTATTTTCCTGATTCACAGAAAATATTATGACAGTGAATTCTCTAAGTTGTTAAAATGCGGTTTTCCCTGCTGATTGATATAGTACTGTACCTCACAAGAATTGTTTGGGGTGGAAGTGTTGTTATCTGACTCTGTTGCTGGAGATGTATCTGCTCTCAAGATATGAGGAAGATAACTGTGTTTACAAAAGCGGGTTTCAAGAACGTGCATTACAAAGACGTTCCTATATTGATGCAGCCACGCACTATCACAGTACCAGTAAGTCATTGTAACCAAGCTTTTAATGTCATTTATAAAAAAATAGAGTTATTTACATTTGCAACTTATTTGATGGCATCCTCTTTTATTACAGCATTTGAATCAGTGAAGAAATGTCACTAGAACTCATTCGAGGGTAAACTTTTCAAAGACAAGCATGACAGCACAGGCAAAATGTTTAAAACATTGTGAATTCTTGTTATTTTGCAGCATCATACAAACTCATTCTTCACAACACATGCACCCTGGCCTTACGGTAAGCAGAATTCCCTTCCAGAGTAAGGCACAGAAACTCTGCCACATTTCTAGGGACAGTCCCACATTCTTAGATGTGGCACTTCAAGACATAACCAGAGGAATTAGTTTAATTCCAATGGACGGTAGGCTAAAAGCAGACTGTAGCCACTTACAGTTTTTTAAGAAAACTGGTTAAAAGGACAAGAAAAAATATGACTATACTTATTGCATAGTTGCAGTAAACCCGATCCATGAATACAAAAGCCATCAAAATATATTATAAATCTATCTGAGTTTCAAAGCTACTCTAAAATACTGCTTTGCTTTAGAATACAAATAACACTGTTCGGGGTTAGTTTGTAGAGTTGTATTTTGGTCCATGCTGTTAATTCTATACCATTATATTCCTCTTCCATTAGTTTAAAAGCCTCAGAACAACAGGTCCTCAGGCGGTGATAAGGATGATGAAGCCAAAGAAGGGCCTTTCCAAATCTCAGACTTCAGCTGCTGCAGTCAGTTCATAAAAACTCTAATTTCCGCCGCCTCCCTTCTTTACCGCTTTAAATAAACTTCCCTCAGAACTCTAAGGGAAAAGAATGACAGGGGACACAGATTTAGCACTGTTAGAGATGGAGGTTTGTCCCCATCTTCTAGTCTTGAGCCGATAAATCACAGCTCTTAAAAATATGCAGCCCATTAAAAAAAAGATCAACATCAACAACAAAAAACCAATTTACTTTGACTATGCAGTAGTTCCACATAATCTGCTGGCAGTAGAAACTTCTTTGGTGTCAGAGTCAGGTCTTCCTGAAACCACAAATGGCCAAGTCTGTGGGCAAGAAAAGGTATTTCACATATTAAAAAGAAAGTTTATCGTGGTATGAAACTGGAGCCTTATTACTGATAGATGTCTAACTGCGGTTCAGTTGCAAACACGTCATCATGTTTTAGTCCCTGTGGGAAGCGCAGAGAGCGCCGAGTTCCTCTAACAAATATTTTCATTACGTTTTTCGTTGTATTTAAATGCTCCGCAATAGGGCTGCAACGGCCAGCAACAAATCGTTCTCATCAAAAACGCAACGCTTCTCTTGCTTTGCAACTGTTCGCATCATTTTATAAATAAAAAGCATATACACGACTCAGAAACAACCACCCTGCGCTCTACGAACCGCCTTTTTAGCCCCGTGGCACGCACCAGGCGTTTGGTCGCGTACCGATGGACTACTGACGGCTTGCTTGTGCTGCAAGCCAGCCCTCAGAGCGGATTGCTCCTTTTTCGGACATTAAGCTTGCCTAACGCCCGAGGAATTTACTTCTTTAGGATCCGCTACTCCCCAGAACAGACACGCCCGCCACCGGCTCTCGACTCGCCCCCGGGGCCAGGATTACCGGGGAGGTACGAAGCAGTCAGGGTCGCCCCGCGGCTTCTTCGAGGGCGGGCACGGCTTGAGCGCTCCCCCCGTGACCCCCCCCGGG